AGGATGAATCTTACATTCATTATTTCCTTGACTGGGCTCACACAGGTTTCAAATGTTCCATGGCTTGAATGTAATTGTACACTACACATGAATGTAAACTAGCTTGCACAGTAATTCGTTTCAGTCATTGAGGTCATATATTTGTTCAATTACTTATTTATTTATTTACTTATACGATAATAAAAAATCATACATGTAATTTCTTAGACCTTTTCAAAATGTAAACTGATACATGTCATCTCCCGGGCGTTTGTTTTGTTTTTGTACAACACACTGGAAATAACAAAATGGCTGACACCATCATAAATTGTTGGTCATGCGCAACATTATGTAAATTAATCCACTCACCGATTCCTATTAGTTGCATTTATGCAATTGGGCAGAAAAAAATTAAAAAATAATAATAAAAAATACATAAAAAATTCTAAATTTTAATTAAAATGTAAAATAAAACAATGAATTGCAGCAGCCAATCATTAGTAACATTCTTACCAAATTATATAAAAATCGTTTTAATGCTTCTTGAGATATAACTGAAATAGCTTAAAATTCACACATTATTATGCAGATGAGCTCAATAATATGCATGGATGTCAACCAAAAAACTAATCAAATCTGTGCATTGCCCCAAACAAGCTATATACCAAGTTTCATTGAAATCCGAACATTGGTTCTTGAGATATCGATGGAACAGACACACACACACACACACACAGACAGGCACACCAACTGCAAAGCCTTCCTTTTTGTGCTTCGCACACGGGAGTTGAATTGAATCAGATTATCACTCAAATTGATTGAAGAAAAGATTACAGAACCATTTACAGAACCCAAACAAGCCACAACTAGTTTATGCAGGATGTAATTAATGCCGAAGCTACTACTTGCCCAAGTAAATCCATGGATATGTCCAACTGTTAAAGTACCACACTTGGGAATGCAGAAGGCCCAATACAGTTACTTTATCATGCTGCACAAATTATCAAGGGTGATTTGACAGATTGCAATGGAATTAATACCAATCCAGTCGACATTGAGGACCTTTCGAATTGAAGAAATAATTCCGCAAAGCCTTTACTGGTTTTTGAGATGGCTGATTACAAAGAAGGATGTAGGAACTGATGGGCTTGGTAATCGTAGTTCAAAGCCATTCAGAGTTGTACATACAAATCATACTGTCAGAAGAAAAGCCTTAATTGAAACAGACTAAGTTCATAATATTCTGGAGTGTGGAGTATTTGGTAAGAGACCAACTGTCACAAACCACTTCAACAGCATCAATGTTAAATGGTGCCAACGTAACAATCACCTTGAAGAAAGTCCATAATCCATGGATCTGACATGGGCAACTCCCGCATGTGTCCTTCTACGTTGTTTTAAGTGAATATCAACCCTATGTTTAATCCAGAGAGAAAAGTAGTTTCTAGCTGGAGTTTCTTTAATTCACAAGTACTTCAATGTAATAAACCACCAACCACAGAGATTGGTTACTGCCCTATGATTGCAGGTTCTCCAACTGAATTTAGTGTTGTGTATACAGTCATGAAGCAAGTTCAGAAAATGATGAAGGTGCTGGGACAGGCAGATTCAGTAACCACATTCGACTTGTCAATTTATGTAAAAGCAAAGGAACTGCAGTGGAGACATGGAGAAGAGTGTATGATACTGTGATCAGAATGGGTGTTTCCATATAGCTCTCAACTACTTGGCTGTTATAGGGAAGCGCTTTGCAGACTCAGGCCTAGAAGATTAAGATTCTCATTAAATCTAAAACATATGGCGCTAACACAGCATCTTCTCTACTAAATGGTAAATCCTACAATCGTGGTGTTAGAGCTCATAAACTATTGATAGAAACCATGCTGCGTTTACAGTGGCAGTCATTTTCCCAACAGCAGCTGAACATGGCACCTGAACACCATATGGATATGACAAGAGTTGGAAGTTTAGACAGAAAGATTGAAATATTCAGAGATCAAGCTGTAAAGAAAGGTGAAATAGTTAAGGAACTTGAAGAGTTACGCAGAGATCTACGGGACATGCAACACAATTTCACGTCTTTCAAGTCAGAAGCAGTGTCAAATCTCTTTGCTTTCTGGAACTCTTATATTGACATGGTTCAAATATTGCTTTTGTTTATTCGTGCTGAGAGAACTAGAGACTGGAAGCTACACTTGTCTGCTACTGCTGGAATGGTGCCTTTTTCCTACTGCATGGATAGAATCAATTATTCAAGATGGTTGCCCATATACCTTGCTGACAGGAATCAACTGCCAGACACTCACCCCCAGGTATAAGAAGAGTTCATGGAGAGAAATCACCCTGTTAGTCGCTCAAATACACCTTTCAGTCAGGTTTGGTCAGATATTGCCCTGGAACAGTCTGTCAACCTGGATTCCAAGAAACGGATAGGATAATCGGAATTACTCAAAAGCCAGGGGCCTTAGAAGGATTGTTTCTCACCAGTCACAGGACGGCAGCCATAACAACTGCAACAAAAGACATGTGTGGTCTGCAGATGAATGAATCTGTTGGTGTGTACAAGGAATTAGGAAGAAAGCGTCTGAAGAGAGATGAAAGTGATGTGCAGAAGCTTCTGACAGTATGATCTGCATGTCACATCCGAGTTGATGATAAATCCATTCACACTTGTGGGAGATAGCAAGTGCTTACCACTTGTTAACATTGCCACGGCAGTTGTGCTACTACCAGAAATGAGACCTAATACACTGTATGCTGTGAGGAAATTGGTAAAGAGCATATGAATGTGTTCATTCAAGAACGGCTCAATTCACAGGTGAAAAGCTTCTGGGATTCATTACCACATTTTAAACTAAGAACATTTGCAAATCTAGTACAAAAGGAAGCAGTAAATACAAAAAAATGAGAAAGGGATGGGGATAGAGAATTGTTTGGAAGACAGACAATTGCAGCAACAAGCCGGGATAGCCTTAAGCACCACATTCAAAGGGCAAACTACCAGGCTTTGGTGTGGAAACGGTCATTGAAAGCAGTCTAGCTAGTACCTTCCATCTCCAGGTGGGCATGGTTGGTGCTCAGTTGGTGGAAATTTCAACCCAGTGCTTATGTTAAAAGAACCAGCTCCAAGTGGATTACTTGAACTCACGACATTAATTTAAAATTACCAGGTTGAACAGAGCAATATGTCGTTTTACAATGATTACAATGCCAGTGCATGACCTTGACCTTTGACTAAATATTCTGACTAATTATAAGATAACAAATATATGTACCTGATGTGGTCATCTTATAACAGTTTACTACAGAGTTTTCAGATCCCAAATATCGTTTGCCCATGTTGCTATACTATACAGTAATTAGTGGTTTGGGGTGCTGTTGCCATACCAACTTCAAAGGAAACAAGACTTTGCTACCAGCTTTTTGAAGTACAACAGGGCTAAAAATGTTCCTTGAGTACTCCTTTATTCAAAATAAGTGTCAAACCTTTTAAGTACTGGGGGTGCAACGAAGTAATTTTGAGCTGGTGTCAGCTCCTCGACTAATATTTAGTAGAGTTGGTGTAGGTTAAAATGGTTATTGCGATGGGCCCTATATTTACAATCATTTAGCTACCGCATTATAGCAATTAAAGGTAAAGAAAATATAGGTGCAGGCTATTTAAGCAGGATTGACAATACTTAGATTTACTGTTACAATATTTTTTGCATTTTTGAGAAATGTAAATTAATTGGCAGTTGATGCTGATTATTGGTGTGAAAATGTCAGCATCCTTTATTTCATGTTTTTGTCATATTACCTCAAACCCTGCAAATGGAAGTGTGCATGGAGTCATGGGAAGAAACGATGTGCATTGTGATAACTGTCATAAAGTGATTGACAGGTCATACTTGTTTTCAACTCTGGGAGGACAGTGGGTTCTAACAGGTGTGCTTGTAATTTACATAACAACTTACAATTTACAACTTTGGAAGAACAATTGGAATCTACCAGGTGTGCTGTTATTTGATTAACAAAGGATGTTTATGATCTACTGAGTTGCCTACGTGACACAGCTGCTAGCAAGATTACATTCTGATTGGCTCATGGGGAAACCCAAGTGGTGTTACTGCCTATAAATTGGACAGACTCAGGACAGTTTGGGGTGGATCATTTCAACTTGGTGTCCATCACTTCAACTTGCTTTCCTGTGTGTTCTGCTACGATACGATATTACAGGCTACAACCATCATTCTGGGAAATTTGTATGAACTGGTCTGCGATCTCCTGCTTCCAGCGATGCCCTCGAGAATACCAGTGTTCCTCTGCAAGCAAGACTCCTGTATTTCTCCGTTGTTGTGTTGCAGAAGCCATTGACTGTCGTCCAATAATACATCCTGAAACTGTGAGTTATCACCAATGCACACTTCCCTAAGCAATCCCCTATTTTAGTGACTTTATTCATTGTATTTTTCTGTGCTTTATTTCTTGTAATTGTTTTGAGAGGTATTAAAGCCAGGAGCTTTAACTTGATATTTTGGTGTATGTGTATTTCATTTCCAGTATTATTGTCTTGTCTACCCCATACTAGCAGTGAAAAAAAACCTGTCCAGTGTGAGTTCTGTGGGTGGCCCTCTCAATTGCGATAAGCAGGCCTTACACTGTGACAGCATCTAACTTAACTTAATCAACATCTATGTATTATTGTTTTTAATTTTTGAATGCTGATAATGTCCCATGTTTATGGCATACTGGACTATATGTCTAAGAACATAATGCTATTTGAAAAAAAACATTGATATATAAGGCTGTGCATGATATTGCTTCTTTTTAGTACAATCTGAATTGTTGGCTGGATGGAAAGCGGATTAATCATCTCACACAGCAACTGTGGAAATACAAAAAAAACACATAAAATCAATGTTGGACATGTCACGATATACTTCTTGACATTCTGACTTGATATTACAATAGAGTAACAATACCACACCATATTCTGTAAAATATTACAAAGTAACAAACCTTGTAATGTCTGGTAAAGTTTAGAAGCGTTGTATTCCAATAAACTGCTTCAATTTGTCCAATAATCTCTGTGCACATTTCACTGCATCCTTAGCTTCTCTTATTTTGTATCGCTCATTTGGTGTCTCAAGTCTTTGTGGATATCGAGTGTCATTAAAGTCACAGTGGTTTCGAACTAGCTCTGCAACATCTTCTTCTACACCTGGAGGACAGTCAGGGTGAAACTGTACTGCATGCATTAGACTTCTAAGATTTGTGCAGTTAAGCATTGGGTCACCATCTGTAGCAAATTTGGCAGCTTTTAAAGCTTTCTCTGCAGCTTGGTGTACTTGAAAACAAACCCACTCAGCAGATGGATTTATAGATTCCAGACGAGCAGAAGCATCCTGTAAATCACACTTAGCTTGCTTGAACCAAACCCTTGCTTCTCTTGGCATAGGGGTACTTCTGTTGAATGATGGTGGAATGTTTGACTTTGAAAAACGACCTGATTGATAATGACGACCATATTCTCTGTAATATCGTTCACTCTGTGATCTTTGATTTCGTGCCTCTGCATTCCATCTATCATACTGTCTTCTATAGTTTTCTCCAGTTATGCCACCACCTTCCATTATATCTAGTTGTTGACGGAGATATTGAAATGCTGCGGTAGCTACAGCAGAATTATTTGGGTTTTTGTCAGGATGCCATTTTTTATACAATCTTCTAACAATCTTGTTACATTCTTCTTTTGGCATTTTGGAAGCTTCATATAACGTCTTTTCAATGATATTTTTTGCTTCTTCTAGCTGTACAGTAAGAGAACGAGTATCTGGCAAACTGGCTTGACCTGTAGGTGGAGTTGGTCGTAGAAATTTGTACAAGTCATTGCCACTAACAACAGTTTCTTGAGAACCATCATAAATGTTATACTTAGTTGCAAGGCCTAATTCATTATCTGCATCATTGCTAATCACTTCTCTAATCTCTGCATATATATAATCACAGATGTCTGTGTCTTCCCCATCATCTATAAGTCTCTTTAATGCCACAATTTCTCCCTTGCGGAAAATGTTAATTGGGTCGTCATCAAGAAGATGGTGTATATCCAATGGTACACTTTTACCTGGTGCATGTTTGTTCTCTTGGATTGCTTTCCTCTGCGTCTGAAGTTCAGGAATATCAAAATTAGTTATCAAATCATGAAAATTTTCAATCTTGCTTGCTAGAAGCGCTGTAATTATCCTTGTGTCTCGAATTTGATATGATATTATTCTGTTGACTGTTCCTGCCAAGAGACACAACAGTGTAGGATTGGCGGGAAACTCATCAGAATGGCTGATATAAAGCATTTGCTCATCATCCAAGAATAACTTTACATGTTGCTCGCTCATTTCTATGTAAGTATTCTGCTTCTGGTTAAACAACTTGGTTCTCAGTTCAGTCACACAGCATACTTTAATCTTCGTCTTCAACATTGTTATCTTACTTTCAATATTTTCATCTATCATTTTTTTGTGTTGATGGCGTACAAGACGTATAATACACTGAGCAAATTCAGGGCTTTTCATTCTGTCTTCTATATACTCTTTTAATAGACACGTTTTCCCAGCAATACAGCATTCACACTGTGGGTCTACTTTGGCCACAACAAAATTACTGATGTTTTTTGGGCGAAGATTTTCAGGTAAAAGATCAAATTCCATGTCTTCAGGGCAATCACATTCATGTAACTGTAGTGCAAATTCATACTGCACAGGGTTTATGCGTTTCAGTAAGTCGTCTTTGCCATAAAACAGATCTGTTGACAGTTTCATTTTCTCTGTTATACTTGGCAGGTAAAGCTTGTTATAAACATTACACTGCCTTTTATTGTCTTCAGCTAAGTAATAAAATAATCCTTTGGTAGCTTTCTTTGCTTTTCCCAATTCATTTGGTCCCATGATTTCATTTTCACATTCACTGTGAATCTGTGACAATACATTTGAATATTGTCTGAATGTTGCACTTTCTTCTGCTCCTAAACGCTTCAGGAAATGTTCATATGATCCCAAGGAACGTGGAGGTACATACATGTAAGGATGTAGGTCATCTTCTTTTAAATGATCAAACTTATATGCAAGTTGGTTAGCACACACCAGTACTTTTTGTTGATCGACAAGCACAAGTGGAGTGTTATGCAGTCTGGACATCAAATGTGATTTATTTTGGTAATCTCTCAGGAAGTCATACACATCTTCCAATACCTCAGCCAACAATTTACGAATCTTGGGAATGGTATGTTGTTTTTCGGCCGAATTTTTTCCAGCCAAATGATGACATACATTCTGACAATGGCTTATGACTGTATCAACCGATGGTTTATCTAGAATTCCAAGGCATTCATGCAGATTAATAACTTCATTGCTTCTGGGAATGTGTGAACTTTTTTTAGGAATTGCCCAGTCAGGTAAAAGCGATGAATTGGACCAACTAAGTTTCACATGAAGTGATGAAACATTCCCTCTAAGACATATGAACATTGTAGAGTCAGTTGAACTTCCAGAGAGTAGTGGATATATTTCAAGAAGGTCTTCACGTATTGGAACAGATGGAATAAATTTAATTGTAGAAACTTCTTTTAGAAATGTGGGATAGTGAAGTGACTCATTAACAGAAAGCTCCTTGGCTAACATTTGTGATTTCTCTAGTACCACTTTCATGTCACAACTTCTTAATCGAACTGCTTCAGAGGCAACCTCGTTTGCATATTCTAAAAACAGGTCAGGCGTAACTGTAACATTAAATCCCAATTTAACAAGGAAGTCTCTCCATTCATATGCAATGAACAGATCAGGCAGAAGTCTTCTTTTTTCTACCATTACTTTGAAAACTTCATTCAGCCCATCAAAGAAGTAGTCTGCACTCTGCATGGAACCATCTGCAGCTTTGATGAACTTTACCTTGGAAAGTGCTGAAATGAGTTGCTTAATAGTTCGTTCAGTAGATGCCCAGTTAATTGTGTTACGTAGGTAAGTTATATGTGTCAAACGACATTCCACAGTTAGAAGGTTGAAGTTAGGTATAATGTATTTTAAGTAGACATCAACAGCTGTAATGGCAGTTGCTCCAAGAGTTTGTTGAAGTAACTGTAAATGATGACTCGGCTTGAGGAATATACAACGACAGTGATATGTCCATTTATCTTGCTCTGCTTCTGGAAATCTAACTGACAGAAGGTGATACTTTTGATATGCATCTAAGCTGGAAAGATGTCCATCTGTCTTCTCATAAAAAGGCAACTTCTTCAATGTAGTGAGGGAATTATGATCATAGCTTTGTACATCTTCTTGAAAATATTGCAACATTATAGAAGAATCCTCTTTGGATACATTATGAAATTTAATTAGGTCCATGTTCATCATATATTCAAATAATGTCAAAATGTCTTGGCATTCACTTGGAGAAGCAACATATGGCTTTAGCAAAGTTTTCATATGTGTAGTGATGTTTTCTGACACTAGATCAAATTTAATCTCTAGGCAACCAACTTTCCTCAGAAAATCAATTACTTTTCTTTGCAAACCAAAACTGTCCTTATATTCAAGTAAACTAAGGACAGTCTTCCCTTGGGATGGGGATATAAACATTCCATTTGTGGTTGGAATAATAGGCCAACGTAGTAAAGAATCAAGAACATTTTCCTCCTTCCTTGAGCAAAGGTAGTTCCAGAGTAATACCATTCGTGCCAGTATACTTCCGGTGTTACATTTAACATCCAAATTCAAATGTAGGCCAACATCACACCATTTAACTGGAAACACAGTGCCAATATAACGATGAAGATCTTGTGGAGTAAAATCCTTCCAAACTAATGTTGTAGAATCATCATCATTCTTTTTTTGAAATGTTTCCAGTAAGTTGAGTACATCTCTTGAGACAAATTTGCTCTTTATAGAAGGCAACAGACCAGCATAATGTGACAGGAAATGTAGTTTATTTGGATGAAACACATCAACTGAATTATCTTCACGAAGTAATACAGGTAAACCAGTGAGATCGTTTGGATGTTCCATTACATTTAAGATGTACTCTAATACACTCTTGAAGGTATTAACATTACCGTATGTTGTCTGTGATATACTGCAAGGCAGCCTACCAATATGACATTTTTCAGGGCACATAAATGCAATAACAGCTTCCGGACTCACTTGTTTGACAGCAACTTCTGCATTAATGAATGCATTATATATCTTTATTGTTGAGCTTATAAGCTTAAAACCAGACTTTAAAAGGAATATTCGTAAATCAGCATCATTTTTCTCGACCAAGCAGTTAAAATATACTTGATCATCTTCATTTACTGGTTCATGCCATGTCAGTTCAGCACAACCGTCTCTTTGTCTAACTAAAGGTAAAACATGCATTCCATCCGTGGACATTATTTGTAGCGTCCTGGCAGAGAGATAACTCCATATTCCCTTACTAGACCAGGCTACACCAGCTTCAGTCTTATTTTGTGATGAATAAGATGGGAAGAGGTTATGATACCATTCTAACTTTTCTTGTTTATTTGCAGTTAGATATTTATGACCTGCCAGCATTATCAGAGAAGCATATGCATGTGCCAGAGCAGATTCAACTAGTGTCTTATTCCATATGCTTCTGACAGTCTGGTGTGTCCCAGCATCACTCCATATGTACCGACGAGATCTATCAAGAGCAAAATGACCATTAACATGTACAGGTAAATCAGTTGCTATTGGTAGTGGAAGGAAGCAATATGCATTGAATCTTTTTTTCATTTCAGTTTTAGGTGAGTGAGTGTAATTCTTCTCTTCTCCTTTGTGGCCATCAACCAAGGCAGCTACACCAACACGGGGAAGTAGCTTACCAAGCTCTTCATCTGAGAACTCAACATCAGGAGTGTTGTAGAAGCCAAACTGTTGCACTACAAGCCATTTTTCTGTCCTGTTCTTGGAATCACATATCTGTAAATTGTAGTCCACCAGCTTTTGTGGAATATCAGTGACGCACATTTTCTTATGATTCAACATGTGAGTTGCAATGTCTTCTCTTCTGAGTCTGTTTTCACCAAATAACTTTGCTTCAGCCTTATATAGTTGTTTCATTTCGCCAGTATTAAGTATCTCTGAGAGGGTTACGACTTCCACATTGTTGAGAAATAAAAGACAGTCACATGCCTCATTTTCAAACCTATTTAACATGTGCCTGATATCTTTATCAGAATAGGTTTTGCTTGAGATTTTGGAAGAATAAGCATTCTGTCTGAGCGGCAACCGAAACATAGTACCTCCTTTAAGAGAGAAATATTCACCAAGGAAACCACTGAGCATGTCACCAAAGTTTTCTTTCAAGATATTAACAGGTTTGTAAAGAATACCAGGATAGTCATGCGTGGCATCTGGCACATATTTAAGATGTGGGTCAAATACACCCAGCTGGTGATCATCAGAGAGAAATGAAGGGCAGTCAGTGAGATGGTATACTGAATTAAAACCGATTCCATACTGGCCTGTTGTATGTGCATCTGCTGATTTAGCACCAATTCCAACTTGTTGAACTCCAGCTATGTCATCATCACTGAATATTTGGTTATTATATACACATATTGCAGGACTCTGTTGAATAGGTTTCCATGATTCACTGACAATTTTGTCAGTGGAATGTGAACGTGGGTCATATATGATGTGAAGTTCAGTAGCCTTGGCATCATCTGCATTTTGTAGAAGTTCTTTAAAGATTTCTGACTCACCAGGATATGCTTTTAAGATATCCTT